GACATAGGCCATTTAAAATGAGAAATGTAATCATTTATTTACTCTAATGTTTTTTCTGAACCCATATTACACCGTTTCTTCTTTGGAAAAAAAGTGAGTTTTTAATATTTTTGTTTTGAACAGCCACAGTTCCCTTTCAAGTTAAGTCACATTTATTTTATTTTTTTTTAAAGCAGGTACAATAACATTGTTTCACAGCAACTAAATTCATGAATTATGAAATAACTGAAATGTTAGCTGTAAAGCAGCTCTACAGAAGAAATAGTGCCATTATTCATCTCAACCCAGATTCAGTGTTGATTCAGTTTAGTAAACTGTCAGTGTTGCACAGTTCATCAATTATGCAACAACTTCAATTTCAGCTATAAAGAAGCTCTATAGCTCTTAGGCTAGCACCAGATTTAATTTCTGACAGGAGTGAAAATGAGGCTCGATTGTTAAGCTGAATAAACGGGGAAAAAATCGGTTGAAACTTGATAAAACTGCTTCTACAGTAGTGAGTTGTGTAAATTACAGGATTTGGACATTTACAGTGTGAGCCATTGTAAAGACTGTAAGTTTATCCTTCAGCCTCATTTTTGTCCATGTTAAATTCAATATGGCATCTAACATGATTAAGGTCTATAAAAGGCAATAGTTTCATCACGGCTATTTTCATTTCAGTGTCAATATTAATGATAATAATAAACAAGACAATAATAATGTCGCTATCCAGCTCAATTCACTTAAGGTTTTTGTTTTCATCGGATAGTTTCAGTTGTATAGTCAAATCCATAATATTTTTTGTTCTGAAAAGCTGTCTTAGAGAAGTTGTCTGGAAGCTGTTGTCTTTTACTTTCATTCTGAGGACATTCTTCGAAATTCACAAAAATATGTTTTCAGAAAATAATAAGGCATATGGGCTTAGAACAACACGAATGAGTAAGGGACCATTTTCTTTCACATGGTATTTCAACAATTACTGTTTAAATGATGTATGATAGATAAACCGTGGTGCACATGAAGCTGAGGTACTTGTCTTTGGAAGCCGTGATGCTCAGCTCAAAGCCAAAGACATGATTGAAGATCTGGTGCATGGGAATTCTGTCAGAGGTCCTGGATGTGGCAATGGTAAGAGCACAGGAATCACTAAGCTTCTATAATGTGTTATTTTATTGTACTGTTAATTACTGATATTTTGGGTTTGACATTTTCAATTTCAATCTCCAGGTAACAGCAATGCAGGGTATCAGAATGACTCCTGCTGGCCAGCTGCTGCTGTACGAGCTGTGGCTGCAGCTGCCCAAACAGCTGTACCTATTGACTGGACTGCACTTAGAGAAAATCGGGACAAATATGAAGCTATGAAATGGCAAGGTGAGTCTCTAGTAGCACAAGATGATATGATCATTACTTAAGATTGGTTTTGTCATCATTTACTCACTCCACTTGTTTCAAACATATGACTTTCCTCTGTGAATTTACACTTTATTTACACACTTTTAAGGCAAAAATTTTTATTAGAGTAAGGAATTTAGTTGATATACTGTATGAAATGTATAGTCAGATATGAAATACTATAAGTACTATACCTTATTAAATGGTCATCTTGTTTTCTGCAGATCTTCCCCCTCTCAAGAAGGATTTCTATATTGAAGCAAAATCAGTGGCAGCTCGCAGTGCAGAAGAAGTCAAAATCTGGAGGTAAAAGTTGTATCACCTTGCCTTCTTCACATTAGCCCACAGATGGCGGCATTTATCTGTTCATAACAGTGCGTCTGAATGCTCTTGAGATGAATGTACTGTGGCATGCTTGGGTATAATATTAGTGCTAGTGGTTAAGGCTTTGAATGTGTATTTTTCATGTAATATTTTTGTTAAAATTAGAGAAACAATGTACTTTGAAACAGTGTGCAAAGTGCTTTGTCAATGTCTTTTGTAGGGCTGTCAAAATGCCTGAAAAACCACATTTGAATTTTGTACTTAAATATTATCAATATTCAAATTATATTCTAATTTAAAAGGCATAATTTCAGTTAGGGAGAAGAAAAGGCCTCTCTCCTTTTGGCTTCTCTCCTGAGGCCACAAGAGGATGCATAAAAAAATGCAATGAATATGCGTTCTTTGTGAACGGCTTGGTTTCAGTTTCGCCGTAAACAACATCTCCGCATTGTTCTCTTTTTCCACAATATTTTGAATGAACAACGTAGCAACGCCGCATCTAGTGGGTTCAACTGGATAGACTAACAGAAGCATTAAAATGCAATGACACTTACATCATCATCGCATTTCGTGCGCCACTGATAAGGCTGCCTGACACACACCTAAAATTCAAATGCAAAATGTTGATTTTTATTTTAAATTTGATGAATATTCGAAATTCTAATTTTTTTTCTGACAGCCCTAGTCTTTTGTGTGTTGTTTGATATGCATTCTATTTTTGCCTTTTTGTACTGTATTTTAATTTTTATTTTAAGTCTAGAAATCACACATAAAATTAGACTACCTCATATTATCCAGGTTTTCCTGGTTCTTCAAAGGAGTTGTTGAGGGGATAATTAATTTTAGTTGTTTTAAATCATTTTGAAGTCCTCTTGAAAGTTTGCAGAGGCCCCCTAATTGAGAACCACTGTGTTATAGCGTAAGTTAGAAGTGCCGCCACTTTCAAAAAGACAGTAAATGAAAATGTCTTTGACATATACAAATAAAAATCCATCTAAAAGTACTGAGCGAGCATTAATGCAACACTGTGCATATTTGTATTGTTTTTTACCCCTGCTCTTCTCTGCCCAAATAGAAAGGAGAACAACAACATCTTTGTGGATGACTTGAAAGATGGGGAAAAAAGAACTATTCCCAATCCAGTGTGCAATTTTGAGGAGGCTTTTGCTCACTATCCTGGAATAATGGAAAACATTGTCAGAGTGGGATTTAAAAAGCCAACTCCCATTCAGGTACCCCAAAGAAAGCATTTCTTTCATATGTTTGCTTCTGCTCTGAATGTTAAGCTTGATATGTGGGGATAAATGTAATCCTGGTTATTTTGTCTCATGGTCCAGTCACAAGCCTGGCCCATTGTTCTGAAAGGAACAGATCTGATTGGAATAGCCCAGACGGGAACAGGCAAAACGCTGTCCTACCTGCTACCTGGCTTTATTCATATGGATGAGCAGCCAGTGTAAGTGTCTACCAGAGTATCAGTGCTCCACATTTAATCTTTTTATTAACAAATTATTTATTTATTTACACTGTAGACGAAGAGACAAGAGAGATGGTCCTGGCATGTTGGTTTTGACTCCCACTCGTGAGCTGGCCCTCCAGATTGAAGCTGAGTGCAACAAATACAGCTACAAAGGATTTAAAAGGTGCTGTAGCCAGTTACCCTAAATAAAACATAATGTTACGCAACAAACATTAAGAATTCATCCTGATTTCTTTGTCTGTTTGCTCAAAATTCCTCATTACTGTAGCGTCTGTATCTATGGAGGAGGTGACAGAAAGGCCCAGATTAAAGTAGTGACCAGTGGTGTCGACATAGTCATTGCCACACCAGGACGATTAAATGATCTGCAGATGAATGAGCTCATCAGCTTGCGCTCCATCACCTATCTGGTAAATTAATGACAAAAATGTGTACTGGGCCGGTAACGGTGCATTATTTTTGTAAGCACTTAAAGGGATAGTTCACCCAAAAATGAAAATTGTATGTTTATCTGCTTACCCACAGGGCATCCAAGATGTAGGTGACTTTGTTTCTTCAGTAGATATTAACAAAATATTTATTTATTTACACTGTAGACCAAGGGACAAGAGAGATGGCCCTGGCATGTTCGTTTTGACTCCCACTCGTGAGCTGGCCCTCCAGATTGAAGCTGAGTGCAACAAATACAGCTACAAAGGATTTAAAAGGTGCTGTAGCCAGTTACCCTAAATAAAACATAATGTTACGCAACAAACATTAAGAATTCATCCTGATTTCTTTGTCTGTTTGCTCAAAATTCCTCATTACTGTAGCGTCTGTATCTATGGAGGAGGTGACAGAAAGGCCCAGATTAAAGTAGTGACCAGTGGTGTCGACATAGTCATTGCCACACCAGGACGATTAAATGATCTGCAGATGAATGAGCTCATCAGCTTGCGCTCCATCACCTATCTGGTAAATTAATGACAAAAATGTGTACTGGGCCGGTAACGGTGCATTATTTTTGTAAGCACTTAAAGGGATAGTTCACCCAAAAATGAAAATTGTATGTTTATCTGCTTACCCACAGGGCATCCAAGATGTAGGTGACTTTGTTTCTTCAGTAGAACACAAACAAAGATTTTTAAGTCAAACTGTTGCAGTCTGTCAGTCATATAATGCAAGTGGATGAGAATCACAGCTTTGAGAGTCAAAAAAACATACATAAAACCAAATTAAACCTTGCGGCTTGTGACGGTACATTGATGTGTAAAGACACAAAACGATCGGTCTGTGCAAGAAACTGAACAGTATTTTTATAGTTTTTTTTACCTCTGATTTTCACCACAATGTCCGAACTGTCCACCTGTCTCTCAAATGGACCATTAGGGCCTTTCGCACCGCTTTAGTTCCAGAACTGGGACGATTTTGCGCAAACTATTTCCCAGTACTATTTAATGGGTTGCATTCGCACAGAGAGTGTGTACTAGGAAGTGACGTAAGCCGGTCGACAGCGACGTCATTTGTGCGCGGCATTCAACAACAGAAACTAAGAAGAACAACATTAACAGGAGGATGGAGGACGCTGTGATCGGAGCTGTGTTTTTGTTGTGTCTCACGGTTTTCACAATAATGGACATGGAAAGTCGACGTATACGTAAAGCGACTGAAAGAACGGAAAGGAGGACTAAGAATCTCCAACGACAACTGGCAGTGCTACATTTGCTACAAGTGCCTGCACTTCAGC